AAAAACCGCTTTTGGTCCCAGCATGATAAAAAACATACCGCTTGCCGCTACCCTGATGGCTGATTTTCAAACTCTTTACGTTTCTATCTTGCCAAATTCGTTTAAACGACCCTTTGGCAAATATCAACGTTTCATCTAAGAAAATGCATAGGAGAGGGCTTGTACTATTCAGGTTATTCATATAATGTATCATAAAGGGTCGGCGGTTATCTTCTGTCTTGTAGCAAAAAATGTAAGGTTTCAGTAGAAGCCATAAACTTGAATCCGACCGTTTGAATATGTACCTTTTTTAAGCTACTTCTCATATCTTAGAAAGTATTCATAATGACTGCTCCGACGGCATCATTTACATCGTCGGTCTTGCATTTTTTGATTTTGTGAGTTTCTCCAGTGAACACTGCGAAAGACTAATCTTCAGCGCTTCTGCTACTCTCTCCAGTACGCATCAAGCGGTTAACAAGGGACCGCTTTTTAGCTTAGCATGAACCGTCGGTCTTCTCCATTGATGGTATTTCCGGGCATTGTACGATTTTGTATAGACGATCTGACAAATATGATTGAAGGGCACTCATACGTAATGACAAAGCTTTGATGACGAAGACACACAACTAAAAAAACGTATGTCTTTGAACTTACCGAGCTAACGTTCACACACATGGGTAGGTTGCATGTGTATGTATAATGGAGATGGAGATATATATATTACATATATTTATAAAGGGATACGGGTCGTCTTACTTTGACCTGTCCAGACCGGTGACTACAACTATAAACGTTTCTCTCTCACACATTGAACTCAACCCACCACACAACTTTGGTTTTCAGTCTATACAGGGTGTTTTAAGTTCAACCCTCACCAATGGGATCTTGGAAACTGAAAGAGATACGAAGTCGCTTAAAAGGGGGCAGAATTACGTGATTACGTAATCAACAAAATGCCGCTTTGAAAGCTTCGAAGCTCAAAGTACTTTCGGAGAGTGACGGAAAAAACTGAATTTTCCCAAAATCGTTTTAATTTTTTCCTTACTATTTTTAGCATAATTTCAGAATCAATTGTACACTGACGTTACCGCTTTTTCTCCTCTACACGAAGGCATAATTAGAATTTGACGTTTCGTCTTCTCCTTCAAGATCAATCTTATTTCTTCTTATGGACACAATATTGCAGATAAATGGAGTTTTTGATGCTAATAGAAGAAATAGGTAGTAAGTCACATTGTGACACCATAGTTATATCATCGAAAAATAGGGAAATCTCGAAACTGGAGATACTACAGACCAAAATATGTGAATTGACCTAAATATACCTTAGTCCAAAAGTTGATAGTTTGCGACATACAGGGCGTCAAAGTTACAATTTTATTTTCCATTTTTTCTTATTTCTTGATAAGTATTCCAGATTTTGCCATAAAACTCGGTATAGGGAGGCTTCTTAGTATGAGAAACAAGAATCCGTTATTTTTTATGGCCAAACTTCTAGAGGGTGCCACTTACAGCACTATTTCGGTAAATAACTTATCATAACTTTTTTGCGCTATGCTGTATACATCAAAAAGGGTTCACTTGTTAGAAGTCTCTAAAGCTAACAGTTTTCGAGATATTTGGTTTTACAAGTTCCAATGCATTATTTGTACCATGATGATAAAACATTTTTATAACATCATAATCAAGTTGATTTGGTTAATATCTGAGCAGCGTTTCTATGGTTTTTAACAATACCAAATGAGCATGGCAACAGAACTAATAAACGGAAATAATAACTACAAAAAATGTTCAAAATGGGCACCACCTTGCCTAAAATACTCTCGAGCTCGACACCCACATATTTTGGCCTGTAGTACCCCCAGTTTCGAGATCTCCCAACCTTTAAAAAAAAAACTGAATTTCCTTTTAAATTATCAGAAAGTCATTTTTTTGCATGTTGTCATTGTTACTTATTCTCTTCTACAAGATGGCGTAGTGAAACTTCCAATTCGACACCTCTTTCGTCTTCCATCACCAACTTTGTTTTTTCGTATGGATGCTATATTTGAATTTTGTATATTTAAATCGACTTTTCAGTGCTAAATTTAGTAACGTATTTCCTCAATTGAAATTGTTGTTCGATGAAAATTATAAAGTGATAAAAAGGTATGGTGAAACAAAACGAAAATTTTATTGATAGTAATGCCCATTATTTTGTAAGCAAAGCTTGACTCTTTTATGATTTATTTCTCTACTTCTCAATCTTCCAAACTCTGTTGCTCTGTTCAATTTGAGGTCATGTACTAAACAAATGAAATCTGGTAATTTCAAAGGCTATCTAGGAGCTTCGGTTTTTTTGGAATAACTAAGATTTGGCAATGTTAACGTAAGGCATATTATCATTTTTAAAATCAGAATTAAAAACTCTGCGCAAAAGTCCAATATGACGTCCATAAGAAAACATAAAGTTAATTTTGGAGGACAAGGGACGAAAAGTTGTATTGGAATGCTAACGATGCCATCAGGCAGAGGAAAAAGTGTGGCAGTGTCAACAGAAAAAGATAAAAGTGGTTTGGGATAAATCTTGAAGGCGAAAGAAATTACTGTCTGATAATTTCAAGGCCTACCTAGGAAATTCTGCTTTCTTTGAAATAATTAAGATTTGGAAACATCAATGTATGACGTATAATACATTTTTGAAATCAGAATTAAATACCCTATTTATCCGTGAGAAACTCAATATAGTGTCTTTAAGAAAAAATAAGGTTGATGCTGGAAAACAAGAGGTGCAAATATTGAACTTCCAATCATGCCATGAGGAGAAAAAGTGGCAATGTTATTGTGTAATTTACTTTGGAATCCCACTACAAATAAAGTCAGGAAAAAACTAAAACGATTTTGGGAAAATTCGGTTTATTCCATCTCTCACCGGGAGTACTTTGAATGTCGAAACTTTCTAAGCGGCATTTTTTTGTTACCGAAATACGCAGTTTTGCCCCCATTCAAGCGACTTCGTATCTCTTACAGTCTCCGAGTTGCCAATAGTGAGGGTCGAATTTGAAATACACTGTATAGCAGCTATTTCGTTTAAAAGATGGTATTAATAAAATCTAGCATGATATGACATTCTAGAACAGAAACAAAAGAATATGCTAAAATAGATTAGTGCAAACGGCAAAACCGTTGAGGTCGCGTCGTTTCCAAGTTGACCTTCCAAAATGCCGCTTGAAAATGAAGTAACGTTTGACATGCTTGCAGTTTATTTTCAAGTTATGCAAAACACATGATCTACCACTATGCCACCCCGCTGCCCCCATCAAAAAACTTTTTGGAAGCTGTGTTGCTGTGTAACACCGTATATGCTGTGCCCTCGGGAATCGTATTTCATCCAATTCTCTAACACCCGGGAAGCCAACGTGGCACAGGCTTATCTCCGAGCCATCCGATACACATACAAAGAGAATTACTGCCATTTAAATTTGTGTTACAATGATGCAGGGTGCGGAGTATTTACATTTGTTGTCATTACACGTATTGTGTCATGGTTTGTGTCACCAGAATTGGTAGTCATGTACTTGCAAAACATCCAAAATTATACGAAAAATAATGGTGCCTCGCCACCTATGGTCCATTTCACCAATCGTGGTACTACCAACCCCTACGTGCAGAATCATAATTATCACAGTTTCCCAGCATCTCTGAGCGACAGTATTCTCTTCTTAGAATCCAAATAGGGACTTCCACCACATAGGCGTCTCATTGCCAATAAGTAACCGCCATCGAACCGGCATTAGAAAAACGTTCTGTTGTACTGATGATTGCTCAAACTGGCTCCAAACAGCGAGATAGCTACAGACATGTATAACAAAAAAATTAAATAAATCAGGTCGGTCAAACAGGCGCATACAACTAGACCATACTCCATCGTCCCACCCATTTGAGAAGGCTAACGCTAGTTTCTTCCCTGCTCGACTTATCGACCATCTGGCAACTGCGTCAACGCTAGTTAACCATGCCATAAGAACCACTCACCATGCTAGAACTCGAGATTGAGAAGGTGAGCGATGAAGTCACATGCACACAGTCTGGCGTATGGGAGTTGCCATAAATAGTTCTCCAAGTTTTAAGGGCAAATGTACAGGAAAATATATGATGTGTGAAATATCTACTAATAGGTACATAAACATACCAGGGTTATGACCAGGAAAATGAGATATACCCTCCCCAACACCCTACAACCCTCAGCCTTAGATTTTTAACCAATACAGAACTTTCTCTGGACATGGAAAGGACCCTCTGAAATGTCTAAAAATGAAGTTGAAGAGATTTTTTCGTTTTCTTCTCTTCGCGCCGCCATGACTGCGCAGACTTTCGGAAACGATTAAGCATTTTCGTCCCTGAAAGTTATAGACGGTCAAATGATTAGCATACAGACCGACAGACCGACGGAAATGAGGGACATGGTTTTTGGTGATGTGTCATATATAACATCCAAAAAACATAATATCGCATTTTAGAAAGTTTTCGCGATTACAATACTTCCTCGCCAGTGGGCGTGAGAAGTGAATAGCGCGAAACAATATTGTATATGGTTGGTTATGGTCGCAGAGTCGGACATCAAACAGATCCGTCAGCCTATGCAAAAATACACTTGAATAACAAAAAATGAACGATAAGTGTGGAGCAGACTTTCAAATCGCACTTTGTCCAAATTTTCACATTTTGCCTTATAGATGGCGTTGCATTCTTTAAAACATCATTTATCAATTCACGTACTCCTAGACATTCTAATCGCAATATTTCACGTATATTTCTGGCTTGAAAAACGCCCTAGACAAACAAAAAGCATTTTGTCCATTAGCGAGAGACAAACAAACAGCACTATTTTGGACAAAATGCGATTCGGTTGTCTTGTAATGCTTTCTTACCATGTAACCACTTTATTATTTACTTTTAAGCAGTGTAGCAATCAACAGTGTTGTTGTGATATTAGTAGTGCGTAAAAAGTAGTGTTTATTAGAGCAATTTAACAAAAAATGATTGAAGGTGAGCATACAGTGGGAGATACAAATAGAGGAACGAGAAAAAGAAAAATAAATACTACCTCAAAAGAACGTAAGAGAGAAATAAGGTACATTGAGATATTGTAGGTTATGTTGTATTTTTGTTGCTTAATTTTTTCGTTTCAGATATTCAAATTTAGACCCAGATTTACTGAATTTTAAAAATAACTGCGACCATAGATCAAAAAGATTTGAATGTATGGAACTTTTGTTGGCCGACATAAAAATCATTGGACAGAACTTCTACAATGACGAAAAAAAGAACAAAAATGCGCAGGATAACAAATTAGCTCAGATGATGAATGTAAAGGAAATAAAAAGGCAAAGGAAGAGAAAGAATGGAAAATCACACGAATTTCACACAGAATTTTATGTAAGTGTTTTCAACAAACTAAGCTTCAGTACCTATTCAATTCCCGCTTACAGAATACTTAGTAATGTCTTTTTTAGGTTTGGCATAATAGGAAAAAAGTCTTTGTTTGCCAAAAATTATTTTCATCCATTTTTAATTGCGGCCCAAGAAGAATTCATACAATAGTAAGAAAAAAGATGCAAGGCATTGGTATAAAAGACAATCGTGGTGGGGACAGGAAGTCCAAGAAAAATGCACTCAAACTAGAAAGTGTCATGAAGTTTTTATCGTCTTTGAGGGGTCATGAAAGCCACTATGGTAGAGGCAAGTCTAGAAGAATCTATTTGTCATCTGAATTAAACATAAAAAAACTCTGGAAGATGTATAATCATCAAGTTCAAGATGATTCACTCCAAACAAACTACAAGTACTTTAGCAGAATTTTCAGCAATAAGTTTAATATAGGTGGGTAGTATTTATTTTTTTTCATTTTTTTCATTTTACAAACATGCTCATTTGTTTTAGCCTTTGGAAGCCCAGCAACTGATGTTTGCGGCTTTTGCATAAGAACAAACACTGAGATAAACACCACCAAGGATGAACAACAAAGGTTAAAATTAAAAATGGATTTATCCATTCACAAGACGCGAGCAAAGCAGTTTTTTAAATTAATGAAGGAGGAATCTCCTGACATTGTGGAATATTGTTTTGATCTGCAGCAGGTCCAGGTTCTTCCAAAAGCACTTATTACGGAAGCATTCTATGCTCAGCAACTGGCCTTTTATGTATTTTGCGTGACAGATATTTCCATAAAACTCCTGTTTTTTATACGTGGCTTGAGCATGAAGCGGGAAGAGGTGTGGTAGAAATAAGTTCCGCGCTGGCTGATTTTCTAAGAAAGACGGATTTTGACCCAAATACTAAACATCTAAGATTGTTCTCAGATGGATGTGGGGGTCAGAATAAAAACTCTCACATGGTACATGCACTCATGTTGTGGCTTTTGAACAATGCCCTAAAAACTATTGAAACAATTACGATGACGTTCCCCGTTCGTGGCCACTCGTTTATGCCAGCTGATCGAGTTTTCGGTCCAGTTGAGCTAGACTTACGTTCCCACGCTTTTAATAAGTCCCCAGACAAATATTATGAAATCTATTCTAAAAAAGGACAAGTCCGCAAGCTTGGCTCTGATTGGACTTTGTATGACATAAAACATGCAGCACTTTCACTCAAAAAAGTTATAGGCATCAGTGAAGCTAAAAGAATAATCATAACTCGAGGCAAACAACCTGCTGGGGCAAATAAAATATTGTATAAAATAGAATTTTTGTACAGGAATGATGACCCTTCTAAAAAGTTTTCAAGTTTACTCAAGCCAAAGAAGAAACTTAGTAATATAGTACTGCCGGAATTGCCAATGAAGCATGCTGTAAAGAAGAAGAAACTGGATAGCTTATCAAAATTTTTAATTAGTTTATCGGGCAAGGAATGGGCGACAGATCCAGAACTAGCTTGGTTAGACCCAATTTTGAAAGATCAGTATGTAATTGACGAGGAAGCTCAGACCTGCGATCAATGTGAAGAAGGAGAAGAATGTTGCTGCCTTCTAGAGGATATATAAATGTCATATGATTTTTTAATTATTTAATTGAGTGTTTTTGAATACGCAGAAATGCATTTTCAGTTTATATTCTTAATTTAGTCATTTAGAGACAATCAAACTACGTTTTGTCATTTAAAGACAAACAAATAGCGTTTTGTCCCTCAGAAATTATTTTTTTTTCAAAAACTAATAAGGTCTGTTAACTTATAAGTAGGGTAAAATAATAAAAAAAAGTACATTTCTTCATATCTTGTGTTTTTTTTATATTTTATTAATAACAGTGTAGCAGTTTTTCTTATTTCCTGAAAAATGTCCGAAATGGACAAAGTGCGATTTGAAAGTCTGCTCCTCAAGTATTATCGATTAAAAAATGGCGCTATAAAAAATAATTTCTTCAACATGTTTTTATTGGCAACATAATGACTATATTTAAAGCATGCTTAGGCGACAACGACGTTTTATCTTTGGTTATGTTACCTTTGTTAAAATGTTATCGCTTAGTTTTTGTGAAGAAAGCAATTTCTAAGAGCTGAGTAGTACAGATATTTTTAGTTATTGCCCTTTCATTTACTAGTGCTCAGCATAACAATTATCACCATGTTAGCGACTTTGACATCGGCATAATTATTGCTTAACGAAATGTTGGTTCGTCCTATCGCGAAATTAGCCGCCGTGTTAACGCTTAAGTGCATAACGTATCATATCTGATACACCTCTTGTTTGGAGCATGTGTCTCCTCTATTAGTAGCTTTACCAACTATATAATGTTTCATTTGTGTAACAACATGTGCTTAAGGCTAAAATGGTCAAAAGCAGTGTCTTCACCTTTTCTATGATTTAGTGTGATTTATTTTATGACAGCGAACACGTGCACACAGGCGTCATTACAATTACCTAATCGTCTAGTGATTTTTGACTGCTATTTTTCTATTTATAAACAAATAAAATTATTATGGACCTTCACCCATGTAAGTAGATCATGTTTATATAATTTACGTATGCATTTTGCCCCAAGGGTCTTTAATATTTAGCGTTTTAAGTGTGTATCATATGTGATAGAACATATCACTCAGGCAGTATATTTTTTTATAGATAATGAGCCGTTGGTGACAGGAATATCAAAAAAAACGGCTTCTTAGCGATGCTGAACTGGATATTGCAAACAACCTTCTGGAAAGTGAAGATGACATCGAGTTAAAAGTTTCTGCACAGGAAGATGACCCAAAAGTATCGCGAAATGGCATAGGTGAAAGTTCTTCAGATGAAAGTTCGCCTGAAGAGCCTCTAGATAATTCTGGAAATATTTCACGGCAATCCCCAGTTCTAGTTGCACTCCCTGTTACACCCTTAATAAATAGGCCAACCAGAACTGCTGACTCTTGGATGGAGAGTAGTAAGAAAGTCCTTTAGAAAAACTCTAATCTGACATTTCCTCAAGCAGATAAAGAGTTCCTTGGTAACATGACCCTGCCAACAGAAATTTTAGAGCTGGATACGCCCTACCGATTTTTCATTTTTTTTATGACACTTTGCTTGATAAAACTGCAGAAGAGGCTTCTCTATATAGCGCTCAACGTAATCCCAATAAGCCGGAGTCCATAAGAAGTGGAGATGTTCAAAAGTTTTTCGGTGTACGCATTTTTACATCAGTTTCATATTGCACAAATGTTAGAGACTACTGGGTAGATGTAAGTGGAAGTGATTGAGTGAAGGAGGTGATGTCAGTAAATAGTTTTGAAAAATTGCGAGCAAATTTGCATTTCAGTAATAACGAGGCACAAGTCCCTCCAGGCCAACTAAGATTTGACAAACTTCATAAAATTCGACCGATAATAAAAAAAATTACAAGAAAGGTTTTTATTGGTTCATACTGAAGAAAGCTTGTCTGTTGACGAACAGATATGCGCGACCAAGCTTCGACACGATTTGAAACAATATATGGCAAATAAGTCACATAAATCGGGGTTCAAATTATTTTTTTATGCGGAGCTTCTGGTTATGCCTATGTCTTTGAAATATACGCTGGGCAAGAAAACAATCCCAATGTAAGTTCTACAAATGAACCAGACTTTGGTACTAGCTCAAATGTTGTAGTTCGTCTAGTGAGAAGTATTCCAAAATATAAGCAGCATAAAATAATATACTATAACTATTTCGCCTCATTGCCACTTATGGCTTACTTACAAAAGGAAGGCATTTTGAAACTTGGGACGGTAAGACGAAATAGAATTCCAAATTTCAAACTACCAACAGAACAAAACATGAAAAAAGGACCCTGAGGAAAGTCAGTTGAGTTCGTTGGGAATGTTGATGTTGTAGATGTCGTTTGCTTATCATGGAAATACAATAAAATTGTAAACCTGATGTCTACCTTTTCGGGGCAGCAACCAGAAACGACCGTGCGAAGATTTTATCGGAAAAATAAAGAATATAAAGAAATAAAATGCCCCGAAGTAGTTACAAATTATAACAAGCGTATGGGTGGCACAGATCTGTTTGACAGCCATATCGGGTGTCACAAAATCAAAATGAGTATTTTGAATTATTTTATCACTTAATCGATGTTGCAACGCATGGCTTCTTTATGAAAAAGTCTGACCAAAAATATTAATCCAATGGACCAAAACACTTTTAGGATTGTTGTCGCTCAAACGCTGTGTACAACTGGAAAGGGATCATATAACAGAGGGCTACCATCAAGCAATGGTATACAAAGAGCTTTAGAAGTAAAGAAACGAAGAAATCCAGCTGCTACAATACCACCTTCTCATGTAAGAAAAGATGTGATTGAGCATTAGCCTGAGTGAATGGCAAATACAGGACGATGTAAAAATCCTACATGTACGAGTTTGACATATGTTTCATGTGCCAAGTGTAAGATACACCTCTGTTTTCATAGAAAAAAATAACTGTTTTCGCGTTTTTCATACAAAATTGCATTTTTGTATGTATTCATTATTTTTGCCAATAAAGTTGCAAACTTAAGCTTGATGATTATTTTTTAATGCTATGCATATTGTATCATATATGTAACATCCCATTTTTTCAATTTTTTTATTTAAAGAAACAAGATGCATTTTTTTAATTATTTCTTCAGTGTAAATTTGACTCTAAGAAATATGAAAACATTTTTTTTTAACTAAAAAAAATCATGCATTTAAGGGTTAATTATACTGCAATGACGGTAATGTGTGAGTGTCGTGTGTGGATAAAAGAAGGAAGAGGAAAACGAAGGAGGCAAACTCGTCCACCGAGGCATACCGTCAAGATAGGCGCATCAGACGACTAGCCCTACGACACCGTTTTGCTACTATGCGTTAGATCGCTGGTTTGGTGAAAAAGGTAGACCTGTTACTACGTGTACATTCCATCCCCGCGAAGGGTAAGACCAATGAACTGTCACCACTGATGGAACAGGCGTAACGCGAATTCATTGTGGCTAGAATGAGAAACGAGAAGGATAGCGCTAGTCAGTGCAAAACATTGGCAAAACATCGTGGTCCATTGTGGTATTTCCATATATGTTCTAAAGGTTTTTGGTGAATCTTTGTTTTTAGTGACATTAACGATTAATAGTGATAGTTTGCGACAATTATTATAAACATTTTTATGCCGGACAGCCTTCAACAGCCGTTGTTTTATGTGATATTTGTTTAAAAATGGTTGAATCTTGCAGTGCGGTGAATTGTTGCAATAGACGCAGAAAAGATGTGAAAATGAAGTTTCACAGGTTGGTTTTAATCATCTCATTTATTTTTGTGTGAGAATTACCTGTTAATTGGTAATTCGAGGAAATATCTGGATTTTTAAGATACCTAGAGATCCTAACATAAGGAAGTTGTGGTTACATGCTATAAGAAGAGAAAACCACTCCCAGTACAACAACGGTAATTTGTGAAAAGCATTTCACTCCAGAGGATTATGAAGTTAGTGTTCATGGAAATAAGGTACTAAAAAAGGTGGCAGTTCCATTTATGTTTGATTTTCCAGCCCATCTCAAGATAGAACCTAGCCATCGTAGGGTTTTGAAAAGAAAACATGAAAAATCCAACTCAAAAGCAACAGGTATGTTCTTTAAAATATTCCCAGGTCTTAACTTTTCTACTTTTGAAAAAGATATTTACAATGATGAAGTGGGTGTTAGTAACGTAATTTTTTTTAGAACAAACTTTGGCTATTGGTGAAGTAGTAGGAGAACCTGAAAATGGCGAACATGCTGATGATGGAAATATATTGGCAGCTGGTCCGTCAAACGTAACACAAAAACTAGGATTTTTAGAATCAAGTGAACCTTCAAACATATGCAATTTAAGGTAATTGCCATTGAACTTTGTGTTTCTCATTTGTTACAACGTCTTTTTGTTTGTAGGGTCAGAAGATCACCAGTATACTTAGGGGATTTCAAAATTTCTGATTTAAATAATGTGCAGCATCGGAAGAGATTTTGAAAAACTGCTCATGAAACTGTTCATAAGTACAAAAAAAATAACAAGTACAATCAGTATAAAATTCGTAGACAACGAAATAAAATAAAAAGTCTGAATAGTCTGGTAGATGAACTACTTAAAGAGAAGAGAATATCTGTAGCTCAGTCAATAGTATTACCTGAATTATTAATTACTTATGTTAAATACTAATTTTCATATCATCAAATGTGTAATGGAGAATTTATTGTCAAGTTTCATACATATGTACGAGTATATATAAATAAATAAACTTGGTTTTTTAATCATAATTACGTTTCTAGGATTTTATCTCGTTCCAGTTGCCTGAATAACTTTTAAATCTTCTCTAAGAATCCTCGGTTTCCTATGCAATTCATTCAAGTCCGCGCGCTTTTTGCCCTGACTAGCTCCATCTCTCTCTCGGACCGCTTTTTCGTATGTTGGCCGCATTATCGTTTCATTGTACAAATGGGACGGGGCGATTCCATCAGTGTTGACAGTTCATTGGGTAAGACGCCGCCGTGGAGGACGACGTGATATTGTACTTTCTGATGAGAGGCATGTACACAGGACTGTTGGAGTAATGGTTCGGGAGGCTATTGCCTATATCGCCACATCTCTTTGTTGAAGACAATATGCGCGTTAAGTTAATGATGTTCTACAGACCACCTTACTGTCGTATCTAGAGGGCTGTTTACACGTCCTTCTTCAGCAAGACAACGCACGTCCCCATGTTTCACGTTCTACTACAGAGGTTTTCTTCAAGAAGCAAGCGTTAATGTCTTGCCATGTGTGGGATATGACTTTGCACCAACCGCTACAGAATCTGCCACACCTAATCCAGGAAGTTCAAGTTTGATCATCTCATTTTGTCGATGCCCAGACGTGTACAGAAGTACATTCAGTTGCGAAGTCGCCCAGCATATTATTAACTTTTTTTTCTTATTGCTTGTCAATAAAATTTCATGAGAATGTTATCGTTTCATTCTTTATGTAAGACTACCTCATTGCAAGAATCAAGTTGAAGAAATTATCTGAATCCCTCCCCTAAAGCGGATCTCTGGCCTCATAGGCCCTGAGTTATTTGACATCCTATTGTTAATAAATGTAAACACTATCTTTGATATCTACCGAGCTGTGGACGCGTTTCTTAGTTTTAGTTTCGCACACCGGACCCCCTTTAGTTGCCTAAGGGCTAATTTCACCAACATTAATATTTAACTGTCCCTTGGACCAATAGGAAAAGTGCTTATCGAAATGCAATTTGACAGAAGCTGTCAAAGCTCTCTGAATATCAGTGATTCCTATTGAAATGTCGTGAAAAAACGGTTGCCCTATAAATAAGGGTACATTATAGATGTAATATTATGTCCTTGTGCTTTAGAATTAGGATAACTTTCATAGAATTTCAAATTGTTATCATTTCAGAAAAGAAGGTCAGTTAATTAAGAGGGACCAATGGGAATGCGACAAGTAATAGATCGATTTTCTAGCTATTATATTTGGTAGGAGGTTTTTACTGTTGTTGCATGGCAATCTAGTTTTGTCTGTATATGACGTACAGGGTGTTGTACAAAATACGTACCTGTAGAAATGTACCGATTTTTGCTATTCTGCAAAAAAAAGGATATAAAACGTATTCTAACTGTTTCATTTTCTTTTGTAACATCAAAAACAATTTTTACCAATTTATGATCTAGAAATCCACACCAAATGTAAACAAACAGGACATTCTGCATTTCTGGGTCGTCCTAAAAGCTACTACACACAAGCCGCCAAGCATCATTCATGACAGTCACATAGAACGCTAGTGTAGTGCAACACACAAACCGCACAACACTACCTCTCGAATGCCAGGAACGAAGTGACGCCGGCAAGCCGCGTAACCCGCCGGCACACGCCGGCGGCAAGACCGGCGGCTTTGTATGCCGCCGGGTGCACGGAGGCTTAGCCGGCGGCTTGCCCGGCGGCCGTGCCGCCGGCACTGTGTGTAGCAGCCTTAAAACATCGATATTTGTAAAAGTATCCGCATCCACATATTATTCATCGTCTAAATATTATAAGTCAGAATCAAAAATACCTGTTTATGAAAATATATGTATGTCCCTATGGTAGCCGGTATGCCTATAATTGCGTTATTCATTCATTCATTCATTTGGCTATGCAACAATTATGGAATAATAGAAAATAAAGCTTCATTGTGGAAACAACGAAGGTAAAGTTCTGCAACCTATAAACGACACTGACAATTCAGGAGTATAAAGTTGTTTCCAACCAAAATTTACGAACGTATAAAGTAATTGTAGCTCAACTTCAGAGAGTAAACTGATTTGCCTGGAATTTCCTTCTGTTATTAAAAAAACTTGTTTTATCTTTAAAGATATATTTTCCGGTCACATTTTCATGCAGCTCATACAGAAAACTTTATTCACAGGTCAGAATCCCAGGCTGTTCACGAGACTACCTCTCAGTGCACTTTACAGTGAATCACAGATAAAGCCCAGTTATCTAAATTCATAGTACATACTTGTATATGCATACAACATATGAAAGAATATATTCTTTTCGCCATATGCGCATAGGCAAAATATACATATCTACATATACACTAGAAACTGGAACTGACGGCTAATGGAAAGACTGTGTTCTATCCTCCCGTTAGGAATGTGGAAACGAATTGTAGCCACATACTCGGAAGTAAAACGTCGTCTTGGTCAAATCATCTTCTCGTGCAAGTAATATAGGTAGAAGCACGTTGCACTTACGTAATACAACTCAAGGATCATCATAAATTTTTTGTGAAGACAGATGGCATATATTACCGCTTTAGTTCAAATATAGATTATGTTCACATGTATACAAGACAAACTATTATTTTATATGCTTAAAATTATATGCCCTTATATCCCTTATTAAAATGAATTGTACTTGTGGGTATATTTTTATTTTCTGTGTTTCTTTTGTTACAAATATTATTTTATTTTTAAACAATCTTTTTTCCTTTAATTATTTACCTTTGCTTTAAGTATATATTTGGTATATTTTTTTCATTAAGTTGTCCTGTAGCTGAAACTATGCTCCATTGGGCAATATATATTTCGTTTGTTTGGTTGTTTTCGAAGAAAAATCGTTGACATAGCTCACTTTACCACTTTAAGGGTGTCCCAAATCCACAATATGTAGAACAGAACTACTCTATTACTTAGTTCTGGTGCTATGTAAGTCAAAAAATGGTGTGTAGTGGGTTGACTCTGCGGTAGACTCTCTGAAAAAAATTCAGTCAAATAGGTCCATACATTCACTCCATAGACATTTTTTGCCTTCCCTACCGGAAACGTCGCCCCTGCCCGATACCTAACTCGGGCAGCCGTGGCTCCGCGATAGCACGGCCAGAGCACAGAAAACACTATTCTCTTGCACGGCAGACATACGTGTGGTCCCATAACAGAACAGTCATCATGGTCAGCGCACGACGCCAAAAGCAGCCGCGGACGATACATCTGCGATCTGTCTCACAAGAATATCTTCAGGGCTAATGTACAGAGAAATATATGATGTGAGAAATACGTCTAACAGGTGCGTATAGCTACCAATGTTGGGAGCATATGAGTGTACCAGCATCAAAAAATCTAGACAAACCCTCCCCACCCACTCACAACCCACCGCCATGTTATTTGTGTAAAATTATTTTCAAAAGTGATCAGGATCCTCTTAATCGTCAAAGAACGAAGTTTGTGCGATCTTTATTATTGTCGTTTAGCGCCTCTTCCCCTGTCGCAACTTGACCGATTTTCAAAAACGAAAACTTTTGAGTCCTTGGCATAGAAAACTATCATCGAAATCCGAGCGGCACTTTTCCAGTTATAGGTGGATATAAGATTAGCTGACAGGCACGACAGACCGCCAGATAGACAGACAGGCGGACGTAAATGAGTGACATGGTTTTTCGTGATGTACGTCGTATATAACGTCCAAGAAACATAATACCTCATTATCGAAATTTTTCGGGATTACCAGTTCGTAGGCGTGGGAAGTGTAAAGATTCGTTTAACAGTTCCAACCGACAGTACTATTTAGTAAGTGATTCCGGCAACCGGCAATACGCACGGTCTTGGCGTAGTACAGGACTGTTTACTTTGTTATTGCAACACACTGCCTAGGAGCAGAAACAAATTTAGACACATATAAAATACAGGGTGAATGAGGGCTCGGTCAGAAATTTCGTTGTTACGCATGATTAACAAGTGGCGTCAAACTGGTTGACTCTGCACTTTCCTCTCAACGCCTTCATCAGTTTGTATGGAGTTTGACCGACTTTTACTATTTTTCGTTTTTGACTTTTTTCTCTACCGCCAGCGGATGGATTTTCAAAAACTACGAAGGTTTTGCATCTTTGGCGTACTCGTAGTAGTTACATTATGTAAAAATTTCATCCTAGTCCGAGCCGTACTCATCAAGTTATAGACGGTTATACAGAACGATAGGCCGACAGACAGAACGAGGAAAATGATGATTGAAATAATGAAAATATGATCCCATATTTTGGTCCTATCAACTTACATTTTCAGCTCTTTCGATAGGTTATTTAGGATGTTCAATAGGGCAGAATGAATCATTCCTCAAAATCTTCAAATGTTTGTCCTTATATTCTTAAATATCCTGTTCACAATTTTTTTTCTGATATAAGTTTATGAGGGTCTGTACCACCGGTTTCTAGGCTACAACTTCTTGACTTTTCGACTTAATAGCCTGCGGCTAGGTAGATTCAATTTTTCATAATGAAGATATACAACCTTGTTGTCTGAGTTTCAAAAATGTTGACTGTAACTCAAAACCAGATCACACAAACCTTCATAAACCTAGTATCAAAAAAACATGTTGAAAGGGGAATCAAGAAATGTGAAACTACGAGTATACCCGTATCAGTAGGATGATCTTTGTAAAAGGGTTTATTTTGCGTTCTTGACCAACCTGCATAAACTGTCCCAGAAACTGGCTATAAAATTTGAGAAATCGCTTGTTGTCAAAGCGGACTGTTTTTTAAATAGTTTGCCCAATATAATAATAATTTGAAAATACAGTTTGTTATATGCCCATACTAAAAACTCAACCTATATACAGGGTGTCCGCAAAGTTGGGGTTTTCCTTTTCAGAAACAACTACCCTTGAAGTAACAAAGGTAATGTGTAGTGAAACGAGGGCGACCAAGAAAAAAAAAATAAAGGAAAAGGTACTCACTCTCCAGTTGACGAGAAGGGCTAAGTACGTCTCTGCCCGAAATCATACCGCTCCAACAGAAAATGAAATCAGCTGACGCGCTACCGAGAAGACGCAGGCGGTGGGAGAATAAATGGTCCAATGAG